AAAACACGGCTAATGAACTCAGGCATACGCCATACAGTGTGCTATGAGGAAAATTTTGCCCGGACAGCGGCACTACAGCCTACTCATATCGAATTCCAACTGTCAAGGGTTCTTTTACGTGCACGCCAATGTGTACACAAGACCTGTTTTGTCGTCCCATCCAAGGGACTATCCGGTGTTCCTTGCCAGGTCCTCCGTGCTGCATCACTGACAAGTCGGAAACAACGCAACCACATCCCGATGAACTTTCTCTGCTCCCCATTTCATATAGACCAGACCATATCTGTTTATGTTTTTGTTGAGTATTTAGAAAAATCGCGAATCTCTACACGGAAATATTGTGAAGACTGTAGTGCTTCCTTAAATTGAACAATTTATGTCGGTGTGTAGTGCTTCCTTGAACTGAATTAAATCCTTGCTGTCCTAATTATTTGTTCTTAAAACGACCAAATTCTGTTCGATATTTCTCATTAAAAATATTCAACTTGTATGGGTGAGATGCTATCCTATTTTTAAATCGAATCAAATTAATTTACGATGCTAAACGACTTTGTTTTAGTTATTTTTCTAAGCTTAAAGATTGTCATTTCAAGCCCACCCGAGCTACTTATGAAACCAATGCCGAAGACTATCGTCCAACAAGTCTTCAAATAATCCAGCAATTTACAACCCCCCCCCCCCCTCCAAGACCAAACTCCTATACGGAATACATGCAATATGTTCACGGGCTTGAGAATCAATGTGAACGGGCAGGTGGAAAAATTCTGAAAGATTCCTTATCCCATTTTCGGGCAATCTAATTAAAACATAGATTTTATAGTTCAAAATTTCGTTTTAATTGTCCTCACAACACTAGGATCCGGAAGAGTTGTTATATAACAGGCGTTCTAGTTGATATGAGGAATTAGCCAATGAAACGGTCTGTTAGGGCGAGTTCTTGGCGTGCTCTGCACGGAACTGTGGATAAACCACTAGAAACGTCAACGCCGATTGATTGATTAATCAATGTCTGACGTCATAGGGTCAAGAGCCACTCGTATGACCCCTGACGCGACCTTCCAGAACAACTTGTCAGATTTTCAATTAGTGTAGGCCATCAAAAGTATAAAAAAATGAAACGAAATATAGATCTGTATTTTAATCAGATTGACTTTCTGACTTACATTAAAGGGACAATAACACTCTTGCTGGCTTGAAAGCTCCAGAAACTAAATAATATCTCTATCTAAGTACTAGATGTTTAAGTGTCCTACCTGTTGTGTAAATTATCCATTACATTCTATTTTACTTGTCCAGAGGGTTCGAAAATATTTTTAAATCGAAGTTTCATTTGAAAAGGTTTACGTTAGACGTTTCAAACCATTATGTTGAATTTTTCAAAATTTTTAAATAAGGTGTGTTAAGATGAAATTTGTATCATCAATTAATTGAAATATTCTAAAATAGTACATTTTGTTGACCAGCATAAAGATTGGGACATATTATTCAGTTACAACAAGAGTGGTATTGGGCCTTTAAAGGAAAATATTGGTGTCAGTCATTATCGCATATGTGATAGAACTGGTTAAACACATTCCAAATATAATCTTAACACAGAGATTATTGCTACGATAGATGCGTAATAAAGGTTTCAACAATCAGAAGTGACGAACGCCAAAGGTAAACACGAGTTATCCCTCTCTGAAGTGACGAGTGATAACAGATACACGGACGAATTTCTGCTCACTAATAATTATTTCGAAGATTAAAAGTTGTTATATGAGACTGTAAGAAGATATCTGGAAATTCAATAAACTAATTGAATGTCATTAGATAAGAGAACACGAGAAAAATAGAAATAGTCCGTACATTCCCTTGTTTTTATTCATTCTATACTTATAAAAATATGGTAATACACGGACTTTATCTATTTTTCTTTCCTGTTCTCTTATCTAGTGACAGTCAATTCTTTTTATGAGTTGTCAGATATCCTCTCACAGTCTCACACAACAACTTTTGGTCTTGGAAGGAATTATTAGTGAGCAGAAATTCGCCCATGTATCTGTTATCACTCGTCACTTCAGTCTGTTATATAGAGGGATAACTCGTGTTTTTCTTTGGCGTTCGTCTCTTCCGATTGTTGAAACCTTTATTACGCATCTATCGTAGCAATGATCACTGTGTTAAAATTATATTTGGAACGTTTTTAACCTGTTCTATGTGATAATGACTGACACCAATATTGTCCTTTAATATCGCGTTCTAGTATCGTCTTTAGATGCTGGACGAATCAAATATCAGCTCTCTCCGTGAGTAAGAAGTTGGCTCACTACTGGGGGTCGACCGCGGCGTTGACCGAGACAGTTCCAGAGAGTTGCCAGCGTGGTATACCCTTTGTAGTGGTGCAGGACGGAGGGCCTGAAAAGGAATTGCGTCTAGTTGTTCTTATGGGACAATAAACCGAGGTCCCGTGTACACGTTGGCGTACACGTAAAAGAACGCTCGACAGTTGGAATTTATTCCCTGACCGGGCAAAAATTTCATCATAGCACACTGTATGGCGCATGCCCATCACCATTACATTATACCGGTTGGTGCAGAAAAGTAGGACGTTAAACCCAATTTTATTTATTCATATTAGAACAAATATTAATCTAAAGGCTTTGTAAGACATTGCGCTGCTTTTCGGCAATATTAAAAATTGATTAATGTTCCTTTATTGTTGGTCTACTTTAGTTGTTATAGAAAATAACGCCTCCTTTAAAAAAAATTATTACATTTAATGTACATACATTTACAAATAACAATAACAAAATATTTATTTTAACAATGAAAAGCTCAACAAACAATATATCCTTCAAGTTCAGGCTGAACTCTTTAAGAGGCTTACAAACAAAATAATACATTCATTTATTTTAGTTAAAATGTAAAAATACAAACATATGCAAATGAAGGCGGGGAAAGCCACGCCTCTTTCAATGGCTAATTTCGTTCCACCCCCCACCTACCCCCTTCAATATCTTGCAAAAATATGTTCATTGGTTTAAAAATGCAATGGAAGAAGCACTAATAATTGAACGTTAAGGCGGAGAGAGAGAAATGGGGTTTGACGTCAACTCGACACAAACTAGGTCATTTCGGGACTAACATATGGTTCAATTTTATTTTAATAATTCGCTTGCGCATAGGGCTTTTTAGCAGTTGGAGGAAACCGGAGGACCCAGAGAAAATCCACGAGGTTGGACAGGCGACCCTACTCCTTGCCACGTACAACCGGGGAATAGACCATGTCAGTTGACTCAATGACAGGCTTTATGATACAGTGCGCACGTGCTAACCATTCGGCCATCCAACCACCGCACGTGAAGGCGGAAGTCAACTTCCACCCACCTGGTTCCAACAATTGAATCGTACGAAAACAAAATCTCAAAACCCTTCAACAATGATCGATAATGATATTGTTTTTCAGTAACTCTACCGCGCTCCAAAATAGATCCAATGTTGTCTTTCAACTATTGAGTCGAGTGCACGAATACATACATGACGTCACGTAATGGCGATATAGATAGATCTAATACATCGGTTTATAAGATTAAAAGTCAAACTAATTTCTTTTCCAATATTGCCCAAGAGATTCATTTCAGAACAAAAATATAGATATGACCTTAAGCGCTTCATATAGTATGTTCCAAAAGATTAGAGGTCAAACTCATTATATTATAATATTGCCTTAGAGTTTCATTTCTGAACAATAATATGTATACGACTCTAAGCACTTCATATATTCCAAAAATAGATTTTCAATTCGTGGATGTGATATGTGATTCGATGCGAGTGCATTATCAGTATTTAAATACGCTGATTAGTTAATGGACAAACGGAGTGTCAATATTAACAGAATAATTGACATTAACGTCATGACGAAATCACAACCTATTAATACCGTTAAATCAACGCACTTATAATACATGATCATTATTAACAATACACGACTCAAACGGAACAATTTAAAAAAAATAAAATAAATTAACTATAAATAACATAGAAGATTGCCCAAGTACAAAATATAGAAATGTGTATTCATAATATAGATCACTTAAAAAGGTTTATATGAATAATATTTTAAATATTGAACATTACGAGAATTCTACAGATTTACATCAAAGCAAATATGATAATATTGTCTTTTATACCACTCTCAGGCACTGTTTCGGTGTCTTAGCTAAAACGTTATTTTTAATCTTTTTTTAAGGGGAGAGAGAGAAATGGGGTTTAACGTCCACTCGACACAAACTAGGTCATTTCGGGACTAACATATGGTTTAATTTTATTTCAATAATTCGCTAACATATGGTTTAATTTTATTTCAATAATTCGCTTGCGCGTAGGGGTCTTTAGCAGTGGGAGGAAACCGGAGGACCCGGAGAAAACCCACGAGGTTGGACAGACGACCCTATTCCTTGTCACGTACAACCGGGGATTCGAAACCACGACAGTTGTCTCAATGACAGGCCGTATGATACAGCACGCACGTGCTAACCATTCGGCCATCCAACCCCCTTAATCCTTTTTAACTGGTTGCACAAAGCTTCATTAAAAAAAGAGAGAGAGAGAAATGGGGTTTAACGTCCACTCGACACAAACTAGGTCATTTCGGGCCTAACATATGGTTTTTAATTTTGTTCCAATAATTCGCTTGCGCGTAGGGGTCTTTAGCACTGGGAGGAAACCGGAGGACCCGGAGAAAACCCACGAGGTTGGACAGGCGACCCTACTCCTTGTCACGTACAGCCGTTGATTCGAAACCACGCCAGCCGACTCAATGACAGACTTTATGATAAAGCGCGCGCACGCTAACCATTCAGCCATCCAACCCCCCTTCATTAAAGAAGGATTACGTAAAAGGAAAATCTGCCTATGGAAGGTTATTTTTTTTGTTGTTGTTTCAAATTTTATATAAATTAATAATTAGGCATTTATTTATATGACAAACCCATAATCAACTCTCTAGAACACTCATATTGACAATCGAGACTATCTCGTCAAAACTTCAAACACTCATAACTTCGCCCAGAATAAAGTAATTTGACTGAATATCTTTAAATAGCTATTTTAGAAAAATTATAGCAGTAACGATTATCTCTTTATCTAAATGGCTAATGCATTTTCAAACATAAAAACAAAACGATGATTTTCGTCATCACGAAGACGTGTTCAAGAGATAAGATGGATTTCCGGACTGGGATGTCATTGTAGGCTACTCCACCATCATCAATCTTCGCCACTGACGTTGTTTTATCAGGATAGAAGTCAGTTCTAATCGATTTCTCGCCACGAAGTTAAAACCTTATACCTCAGAGGAGTTATTTTTTCCCTAAACTTAAAGACACATTATGTTAGATTAGAAAAAGAGCTGGCAGTTCTCACTATAATAGTTAAAAACTAGATAATGTAAAGGGAATTTGCTGATAATTTCAGACAAATTGATCCACTCTGAACCGAGATTTTAGCGATTGAATATTGGGGCTAGCCTCGAACATCATTGCTAAAGTAGGTAGGATAAACAAATAGTCTCGATTATCCATTTTTTGATTTAATTATGAATGGAAGTAGAACAACAAATCGGAACGTAATCCAATAAACATCGTGATGCCATCGAGAGTGGATTATGGACTGGATATGTTTATTAATGTCTAATTAATAATTTAGATAACCTTTCTGACTTAAAGAAAGACCTGCAATAGGCAGATTTAGCTCTTGCATAATGTATGTTTAATGAAACATATCTAATGTTACTTTCTTGTGAGTGAGCAAAAGGATTCTTTGGTATACAAACATGGCGCCGTATATTAAATCAAGAGTTATATATATATATATATATTTATACAACCGAGCTCTAACAACCCTGAAATCTCTGTTACACATATAGAAAATCTCTGAATATTCATCATTTACTAGTTTCACAAAACTTGCGACGATGTAGGGTTAGATTTCGATGCTTCCTTCGAATTATGGTGACTGGATATGTTTAACTGCAAGTTATTCAAAGGAACTGGTGAAGCTACTTCCGGTTCCGCTTCATCTTCATCGTCTTCGTCTTCTTCCTCATCATAATGGTGGCCGACGTATCTCGGTGCCCCTAACAACGGAACTATACGTCGACGCTTTCTTTGTATAAACCACATGGTGAAATATCTTCTAAATCGACTGCTCATTGCGAAGTAGAACATAAAGTTTAATGGGAAGGTAAAAAGAATAAGAAAATTTGAGATTACAATTGATTTGGAGATTGTGTCGTGTTCAATGATGAGGTATTGACTGTGGTTTTGTGTGGTTTCAATTAACAGCAACACCGCCACAAAAGCTTCTGCCAGCAAGGTACTTCCGGTTATGAGAACGAGCATTATGGACATGCGTAGTGTAGCTTTTAGCTCTCTATTCTGGGCTACTTTATTTCCACGAACCAGATGACGCCGGTATCTATAGCCCTTGACCGTGATCCGCAGCAACAGAAAGTTAAAAATTGCCAAACACACACAAGGTAGGACTTGGGCCAATATCAAGCGAATCCATCCGTAGTATTGTGAAAAATAAACATTAAAGTGTTCATCTCGGATCACCATAGCACAAGTATTGGTGTACGAAGCGCTGCCATCCAAGTTAAAGAATTGGTTGCTGGTGACCGTTATAGATTCCAGCTTTATAAGGATCAACTGGAAACAATGGACGACAAGGGAACACAGGGCGATTACCACAATGGCGATGGTCAGTCCTTTGTATTGGCACACACAGCCGATTCGTCGCATTTGCGAAACTCCCACATATCTCTGGAATGCCAAAAGAACAGTGCACCACAATGACGTCATATGTATTATGGTAGGCGTCACTCTGAAGAGATAATAATAATAATAACACCACGTTTCGTTGGGTAAATATTTATACCCCTGTAGACTATAAGTATTAATATACCACGGTAGTCTTAAACATCCAGTTACCAGATCCAAGATAGCAATCGTCACTAACAACGCATTCGTTGGCGATCGGAGTTTTTTCTCCGTCAGAACTTTCACAACGCAAACGTTCAAAATAAAAGTTAATATTATAACAAATGGAGAAGCCACGCCTAGAACAGGTAGTGCAATGTCCAGCGGAAAAATGTCCGCAAAGTCGATGACGTCATGGGTTTTTCGTGACGTATACACATGGGAACTTAGATTCTTACACAAATACACGTAGGCATCTATGGATGATATGACAGAAACATTGGTACCAGAAAGAGTTGCGATTCTCTCCATACAAGTGCCATATAATCGCTCCATGGTAACTTATGTAAGTTGGTGCCAATTCTGTATGTAAATCAGGAATTTATGTAGGTTCCTACAAATTCTGTATATAAATCAGGAATTTATAACACAAGTTGTCCGTAGGTTCCTCCCAATTCTGATAATATTTCTCGTCTGAAAATGTACAGAACTGTTATCGCTATCTGGACGATGTCACTAGACACACTCAACAACACTTATCAGCCATAGAAAAATGTCGAAATATGCAACAAGTATTATTATATTCTTAGATAAAATCAGAGTCGTCTTCAATCACAGTGTTTCCGTGGCCAAAACAAAGACTAATTTTCACGAGTAGACAGAAGTGTCCCGTTATGAAGTTATTACCATTCTGATGTTTCACATAATTAGCCTTGGGTCAATTCCATAATCGGGAAAGTTAAAAGAATACACCACGTCTAAGGACCTTTCACGTAACACAACTTATTTATCAGGATGTATTCTATTTAATTCGCAAGCAACTCCCACACTAGGATCAATGAAAGAACCAAGCATCATTCATCAGCCAATCGTTGTAAGTAAAAATGTCAATATGAAGCTTTTTACAAACGCTCTGATATCATGAAAGTCTATCAATGCATTAATGTAATGTTGAGACAAGGAGATTGTCTTTCACGAGTGGTCCATAGTTGTATATAATAATAAACGAAAACAGGAACAGATTAGATATCCATGCTTTATCCGTCACTCTTGTTCTATCACCGCACATATTTCAAATTATCCATTCTTTGGTTTCATTTTTATGTTACACGCGGCTTTGAGGTTTTTTTTCTATAAAATGTAAAATTCGATTTGTTTATCTCACTTGTCAGTATTGTACATTTTATCACGAGAGAGTGTGGGCGGTACACACGTGGATTGTTGATACATATGATATTATTTGGATAAAGATATCGACATCATTAAATCATATTCAATTAAAGGTGCACGAGATGGTTTTTTTTACCCGACTTTTTTCCATATCATACAAAAACAAGATAAGAATACAATTCCAGTAATGAGAAATTGTCAACAGCAACTTCTCGTATTCGCAAGACTATTTTTTTGTTTCTAAACAAATGAAGAGCCCCGGGGAAAACCATCTAATGTAGTAATATGGAGAGGAAGAATTTGTGCTTAGAAACATCTATGTAAAATAATATTATGGTTTTGATTAATTATTCCCCATTGCCAAAATATTAGCTATGGTATAAGTTAATTCTGTAACGCAAATTAAAATTGTTTATGAAATATTGTGACAATAACAAGACATGGGGTCTAAAGACAACAAATTTAGAAATATGATAGCTAGAACAATAGCGTTATCTTTCATATTATTGATTCTAACTTCATAGCCATAAATATAGAAACTATATGCTGGTTATGGTGATACGTTAACTCAGCTATAGATTAATGAACACGTTGGTCCTATACATTGTTCTTTGTTATAAAAGATATATCATATTTGTTGACCAAATCAGGTAACAATCCCTGTCGATATTCAGTTTGGGGTGCATGTCCTTTCCATATTTAGAACTGTTATCAGTCTTTAGATTAACACCTCAAACAAAGGAATAGGCACCTATAAAATAGGGTGGGGAAATAGCATTCGAGGGAGCTCACTCCGCCGGTCATACCAACCATTTAGTTATTTGCGACTAGGAAGAATTGTGTGTAACACTTCCAATTTGTAGAAATAAAATATTTAAGAAAAGAACCTGAACTGTAGCGTGAAGATTGAATATTGAAGATTAAAGTTCTGATAGTACTACAATTTGTCACTTTTTCAACGAACCCCAGTTAATGGCGCCATCTGGTAGCAAATTGTATAAGCTTTCTGTGGAACAATCTATTTCAGGTAAAAACGATCGGAGTCACATCGAACCAAGGCCCTTCTGAAATGACCTCCTGGACAAGTCCATCGTACCCTTTTTTTAACCTTAATTTGCCCGAAAAGTTGAAGTCAGTTGTACTTGTAATTATGATTCGTATTAAACATCATTTGATGTTGTAATTAAACTCGCTTGTTGTTCTGTTCGCGTCAAACATTCTCGTCCAAAAGTCTGTTTTGCCTTTTATGCGAAAAGACAAAAATCTGACTTAGATCGTTCTTCACCTGGACTCTTCAGATATTCTGCGACCAATTAAAGAAGCTAGATCTCTATTCTTTGGCACTTGGAAATGGACACAAATGGGTCGCAACACATATAATAATGTAACCGGAATGTATATAAACTGATTTGCATTCAATCGTTTCTGTTTTTACTGTAATTTCTAATTAGTTATGTTCGGCAGTCTTTGGCGTTTGGTTATTCCAGTCTACACCGGTAACCGGTAGTATTTCCTCTGGGATATGTTTAGCCTCGTCCATCGAGTCGCTTCATTACAGATTCTGTAAATCATTCTGGCACGCGATTCGTGCGCAAATTTTAAAATTTTCATTTTGTCTTAAATATTGGATATCAGAAGCCCATCTTTTCACGGTAAAATAACAACATCAATGTTGTTTTAAATCGACAAATAATTTGTGTTTGCAATGTCAAAGACTTGCCTTCTTTAAAGTCAGTATGTTTCATTTGCATTTTTTGCAAACTATCAAATTTTCTACGACTTGATCCACTCTAAAAATCAAACATATTATTAAACATATATTATGCAAGAGCTTTAGGCCTGAAATGTTATCTAAATTATTAATTAACTTATCCAGACCATAATCAACTCTCGATGTCATCGCTAGCCTGCGATATTTACTGGGTTAGAATCCGATCTGTTGCTCAACACTCACTGATGATTAAATCAAAAAATGGATGTTCGAGGCTATGTTGTTATCGTACCGACTTTATAATGGTGATCGAGGCTTGGGCTAAAATTCAATCGCTAAATTATTGGTTTGGAGTGGATCAATTTGATTGAAATTTTCAGCAAATTCTCTTTAACTTATGTAGTTTTTAATTGTTGTAGTGAGAACTGCCAGCTCTTTATCTAATCTCCCATTAATTATCTTTAAAAAAATAGATAATCTACCAGGTTGAATTCGAGCGGATTAAAAGAGGTTCACCAAAGGGTTTTAACGAAGATAAAAGGAGGCGCTAGTCTTTGGTCATATTTTTAATACTGAAACATAATCTTTCATAATCTTTGAGAGACATTAGTTTGAATGGCATTTAGCGATTGGGGAAACGCATTAAAGTAGCTAAGTCTCTAACTCAATATCATCCAAAGTCTTCGATATTGAAAACACGAATTATTTGTCAATTTAAATCAACATTGATGTTGTAATCTTACCGAGAAAAGATGGGCTTCTGATATCCAATATTTAAGACAAAATAAACATTTTACCATTGGTACACGAATCGTGTATCAAAGTGCGTTTCAGCGTCACGTGTAACAAGTGACCAGAAAGAACGAGGCTAGACATATTCAACAACTCATGTCAAACGGTGACGCCATATCTCATCTGGAGAGCATGCGCAATAGACTGGAATAACCAGACGTTAGAAATTGGCATTTGGTTGAGACTCATGCCGTATTTCGCTGGACATAACTGATTTGAAATTAGAGTCAAAACGGAAACAATTGAATGTAAATCAGTTTATATACAATCAAAAGACCTAGTTTGTGTCGAGTGGACGTTACACACACACACACACTCTCTCTCTCTCTCTCTCTCTCTCTCTCTCTCTCTCATTAACAGAACACGTTTTTTATAGGAAACAGTCACTAGTTTTATTCTTTCAAGCGATAATCAAAACATAATTATTTCTATAACTGTTGCTTAATAGTTTGTCAATCATTACTATACATCACTGTAGCACTCTAACACTGGAAATAGTAACAAACCTCTTCCTTATTTTCTATTGACAAATTGACAATTAGCAAAGTTAAAGATACATTATGGGAGATAACGCAAATTTGAGATGTTGAAAATTTCAGTCAAATTGCTCCACTATGAACCGTGATATTAGATTTTCAATTTTAAGTCTAGCCTCGATCATCATTACTAAAGTCGATACGGTAGAAAAACATTGTCTCGATTATCCACTTTTAGATTTAATCATTAATGAGCGTTGAGCAGCACATCGAATCCTAATCCAGTAAATATTGCAAGCTAGCGATGACATCGAGAGTTGATTATGGTCTGCATAAGTTAATTAATGTCTAATTAATAATTTAGATAACATTTCAGGCCTAAAGAAAGGCCTGCAATAGGCAGGTTTAGCTCTTGCATAATTCATGTTTAAACAGGATAATCTTTAAGAGCAATAGAGCAATACACAAACACATACTTATGGAAGAAACAGCTACTTATATATTTGACCTTGTTTTTGTCCTATATGGTTTCATGAATTGTTGTTATAGTTTTTCTGTATATATTGATCTCATAATTCTTGTATTACTGTATTTGCTTGATAACGTTGAGAGAATACTCTTCGAAACGTCGCCCAAATAAACAAGTATGTGTTTTTGTGTATTAAACGTTGATGTTTCAACTTGAAAAAGAATATTTGCCAATTTGTCAACTGCCACTAGTGAATTAAAGAATTAATAGGATTATTGTTTAACAAGGTAGGACCGTGTAATGTTGCCATGTATTTTAAGGTTTTATTTTAACATACTGTCGCTTTAACTATAGTATTTTACTTTAAGGTGATTTGTTCGATGAAAGAGGATTACAAAATCAACAATGACATATCACATCCTGTTCATCCACGTGTATAAACTTTATTGACTATAAAGATTAGAAATATTCCTCTACAAATTATATCGCCCACACATCTCTTAAATAGACCCAAATCCATAACTTGGGTGGTTGGGTGGCCGAATTGTTAGCACGTGCGCGCTGTATCATAAGGCCTGTCATTGAGTCAACTGCCGTGGTTTCGAATCCCCGGTTGTACGTGACAAGGAGTAGGGTCGCCTGTCCAACCTCGTGGGTTTTCTCCGGGTCCCCCCCGATTTCCTCCCACTGCTAAAGACCCCACTGCTAAAATAAAATATTAAACCATATGTTAGTCCCAAAATGACCTAGTCTGTGTCGAGTG